GGGAAAAGACAAAGAGCCTGACGCCCTGAGACGTTGTCCACTGATGCTTTCAGGGGGTCTGGCAGGAGCCTTGGGCAACACTGAACTCCAGTTCCCGAGGCCAACGGAGAGAGGGTCATTCACGCTCCATTCCCGTGGGTTTTAGTTCTACCCGTCAGTTATAGCCATTGTGTGTGGCTCAAAACTCGGAATAGGTGTTTGAAACCATGAGTGGGGGAGAGCCAGATCTCTTCCTGGGAGTTTGCCTCCTCACGTAGGTCAGCTTTGAGTCCAAAGTACGCACCTATTTATATTTACTGCCACCAGTGCATTTTTTTTTAAGCTTTGTGGTCATTTTAAGTTCCAGGCTGCTGTTCTTCTTCTGGTTCATTTTTAACTAAGCAGTAATAAACAACTTCTAGTGTCGTTTTCTAATATGTTACCATTTGAATGTGTGTGTGTGTGTGTGTGTGTGTGCATGCACGCATGTGTGTGTGCACGTGTGTACAGCTGTGAGCCCAAAGACTAGCAGAGTACTTTGGGTATCCTGCTCCATCACAAGCCAACCACAAGGGGAAGTTTCAGGCTGTCTCCTTCAAACTCTGCATCCTTCCCCTAAGTCCTTGCCTACACTAATGACCTCTCTGAATCCCCCGTTCCTGAACTTAACAGAGACGCTAATCAGGTCAATGAGGTTATTTCTTTTTTCTTTTTCTTTTTCTGTTTTGTTTTGTTTTTGTTTTTTCCGAGACAGGGTTTCTCTGTGTAGCTGTCCTGGAACTCATCTTGTAGAACAGTCTAGCCTCAAACTCACAGAGATCAATCTGCCTCTGCCTCCCAAGTACCAGGATTAAAGGTGTGTGCCACCAATGCCTGGCTTATTTCTTTCTGTAAGTAAATTTTACAGCTCCCTCTGTCAACACAGAAGACCTTGGCCATGCTTAAGGCCAATTGCAAATGAACCTATCCTAGAGTCAGACTTATACATGACTGGGAGAGGTAGGAAGGTGGTGGTCTCATTTACTTCTTACAATTGTGTGTGTGTGTGTGTGTGTGTGTGTGTGTGTGTGTGTTCTGAGCCTCTCTGAGATACAGAAATAGACCCAAATGCCTTCTGTTGGTCAGAAGCAATCAGTTAACCATGACCATGTGTCTCAGAACTAAATTAAAAAGGTTTGAACTAGGTGGTCAATTTAATTCGGGAAGAAAAAGATGCTCAGGTAGAAAACACACACCCTGGCATTGTGTTTGTTAGATGGCCTGTGTTCTCCTCTCTTTAAACTGGAGGATATTTTTAATGAGGCTGAAAGCAAATGCAATAGGTTCCTTGAGATGAGCACTGAACCATCTGCCGGGTGCACACTAGGTGCTCATCTTAATCCTTACCCAAAGCCTATGCAGTTGGTATCTCAGCCCTCATGGTAGAAGAGAACACACATCCTCGGAAAACAGCCAATAACTGGCATGATGTTAAATCCTTGAGTATCTTACTCAGGACTTGAACCCAAAGCATGTGTATTTTATTGTGGTCCCTCCAAAGTCACATGCTACCCAGAACCTCAGAATGCGATGCCATTTGGAAATAGTCTTCATATATGTGCTGCTTAGTGATGGTCAGGTCATTCTGCAGTCAGATGGTCTCTAAATCCAAATGACAGCTTCCCTGCAGTAGACACTAATGCACAGGGGTGCCACCTGATGATGGAAAGTAGCAGCAGCTACTAGGTGAGACTTTCAGATTCTAGGACCATCAATGGTTTCTGTCACTTTAAGCCACCCACTCCATGATCCCAAGGAATGTGCCCTATAACCAAGTTATAGGAAAACAAAAAGAACTTAAAAAATGGTTACAACCTTATGTCCCCAACCAGTCACTACAAACCATGGTTTTTCATGTTTTCTTGGCTTTTTCTGATGGCCATCCCATTAATTTGCATGTTTCCAAATGGAGGCTGGAAACATAGCTCAGGTGGTAAAGGATATCCCTAATGTACACAAGGCCCTGGGTTTGATCCCCAGAACCTCACAATCCTAGCATGGTGGTCAGTCCATACCTATAATGCTAGTAGTAGAGAAATGAAGACAGCAGACTAGATGTTTGAGGTCAGCCTCAGCTACATAGTGAGTTCAAGGCCAGCTTGGGCTTCCAGAGACCTTTTCTTAAAACAACAAGAAAAATGGTAATCCCTTATGCATCTCCTGTCTCTGTGGATGTGCAGCGAGAATGGTTGTAATTTCCGGAACATGTGTCTTTAAACTGTCACCATCATCCTGATTTTAGCTCCTCGAAACAGAGCAGATGGAAGCCGTTAATCCCATCTTTGGTTTGGAACACTGACGCTAAAGGATACAACGGGCCACCGAGAGATAGATCCCCAGGAGGTGGCAGTGTGGGTCATGAAACCATCAATTCACACAACACCCTCCCCCCCAAACCACAAACCAGTGACTCCTCTGGTACAATCAGCAACCCCCCCCCCCCTGGGGGCCTTTCTAAACAGCCCTGGAAACAGCAGCCAGAACACTCACTGGAGAGAGAAGCCAAATGGGGTAAATGCTTTCCAACTCTGTGTGGTCTTTTATTCTTGGTAAAGAGGGGAAGGAGCCTTGGACTGCAACGTCAAGCTTTATCTAAAGATCTTGGAGATGTTTGTTGGCTGTTTTCAACATGTCAGTATCACCTCACTATTCTGTCTTCCATTGGTCTAAGAGTTCCAGGCAGGCACCTCTCAGTGTCAGTATTATTTAAACTGCGAATAAAAAACAGGGCCTGGAATAGAGGGATCATAGAAGAAGTGACACAGCAGCCCAACAGGCTCTCTCTCTCTCTCTCTCTCTCTCTCTCTCTCTCTCTCTCCCCTGTCAAGCTCATGGTCAAAGTGCTGGGATCACGGGCATGCTCACTATGCCCCACGACCTACTCCTTCAGCGCTCACAGGCTGTGTGAGCCTCATGTTCCCTTAACTCTCTGACCCTAAGACATCCCTGCTTGTCTTAGCTTTTGTTTGCTTGCTTGTTTTGTTCTGTGTGCATAGAATGTCACCCTGTTTTGCAATGCGGTTGTACAGCTTAAATGAGAAGCTGACTCTGAAAAAGTACAAAGCAAGAAGTTCTCCGTCAAAAAAAAAAAAAAACAAAAAACAAAAAACCAACCCACTGTTTTCCTGAGTACGGTCTAGCTGTGAGTGACTCTCACACACTGTTGGATTGTAGTTAACCCAGCATGCATGTTAAAGCATGGGTCGGTAAGGTCTACCCTAGAGCTTCTGGTTCAGTGAGTTAAGGTGGGGTCAGAAAAAACGTGCAAGTGAACCCACTCCTAGTGTTGCTGTCCCTGTGATTCACGGGGCTGGACCCACATCAGGGCAAGTTGGCACTTGTGACACAAACCTTAGAAGTCCTTTTACCGAAGTGGGAAGTGCTGTCCTGGTCTCCCGCTCCTGGGTGTGGGTTATGTTTTCAATTGTCTAGACGTTACCATCTTGCCAACCGTGCCATTTCCATCAGGCGCAGCATTTTCTTTTTAGTCACGTGTGTGGACACGTGTCTGTGTGTGGGTGTGTGCGTGTGAATAAAGGCGGAGGCCAAGTAAACGCCTCTGATCCGTTGACCCTAGAGTTACAGGTGGATGCGAGCCACCTGCTATGGGGACTGAGAACTGAACCTGGGGTCCCTTGAAAGAGCAGCAAGTGCTCTAGACCACTGAGCCTTCCCTCTGGCCCAGCCCTTTCTGGCTGCGATGCCAGCTTATTCAACCAACCTTCTCCAGTGGAGATGAACAGTAGTACCAGCACAGCCTACGGGATACCCTCAAAGTCTAAAGAAAGCTCGCCGACAGCCAGGACCCTGCTTCAGACATGGACATCTTCTCCCAGGACACGGCTGTGTTGGGATAGTGCTGGGACTTCCGCCCCCTTGCCAGTATTCATTTCCCTATAGAACCCAGCTATTCCTGATATAATACGTCTTCATGCGGCTGGCCCATTTCTTGTTTACTGCGTGTCTTGGTCAGCACTGCAAAATACCTGAGAGCAGGTGGCTTACAGAGAATAAGATTTACTCAGCTCAGATTCCTAGAAGCCAAAGAAGTCCAAGGGCACACCACCAGTCTTGGCTCAGCATCAAGTGAGAGTCCTCTTTTTTTGTGGGGCTCTCTGCTGAATACCAAGACAGAGCAGGACGCTGTGTGCTGAAGCAAAACATGCCAGCTTGGGTCTCTCTTCTTAAAAAAGCTACAAACTAAATCCTTGGTGGGGTGGGGTGGTCCCCGCTCTCATGACCTCATCTAATCCCAAATGCCGCACAAATTATTATTATATCATTTGTGGGTTTTTTTTTAGAACCCAAGGTTTTTAATAAAAATCTTTCCTTTTGTACTGACTTTTAAAAATAAACAACAAAAGAAACCCCACAAAACAACAGAATTCAGGAAGTGGGTGTATCTATGTTGCATTCTAGACCAGCCTGGTCTACAGAGCTGTCACAGAGAAACTGTCTGAAAAACAAAACGCTGTCCTAAGAGTACAGGGAAGGGAATGGACTGGTTGGCAGAGACGGCTAAAAGGCCAAGGCTGACAATCCAAGTTCAATTCCCAGGACCCAAGCAACACAAATTTGTGGTATCATGTAACAGTTACAACCTCAGTGTTCAATCTTAGGCTCACATACACCTGGAACTAAAATGAGACCTAACACTATAGCTTCTTAAAAGCCACAACAAGCTAGGCATGGCGGCACACACCTTTAATTCCAGCCCTTGGGAAGTAGAGGTCCATGGGTCTGTGAGTTCCAGGCCAGCCTGGTCTACAGAGCAAGTTCTGGGACAGTCAGGGCCACACAGAGAAACAGAAACCCTGTCTTAAAAAAAAACCAAAACCCACAATTCTAACACATTGATTTCTATGAAAAGTACATACCCAGGGGAACGGTTCTTAAACGACTCCCAACAATACCCCTTAGAGCCTATCCTAAACAGTATCAAATATTCCACCGGTGGGGCAGACAAAAGGAAAACCAAACCCTGAAGGCAGTTCTCCAACTTTATTTGACATTCAGCAGATTAGTTCTCACCCACATTGACTGTCTGTAGGTTTGGAATATGGTAACAGGCTCGTAGGTTGCAGCTTGTTTGGTGAGTCCTTATCCTTTCCTTCATGGCAAATTTCCGGATTTCTTTGAGTGCCCGAGGAGCATGCTTCTTGAAGCCCACGCCATGGATGCGCTTGCGAATGCTGATGGTGTATCCTCGGGTCACCACCTCGTTGATGGCAGAATGACCCTTCTTCTTCTTCTCTCGACCCTTCTTTGCGGGAGCCATTCTGGCGGACCAAAGTTGAAAAGCATGTATCTTGTTTCTATACAGAGGAAATTTGGGGAACACATTTAAACCTCAACACCCCTTTGTTTCCTTCAACTCCCCAAATGTAAAGACAGGGACTTTTGTTTACCTTGATGTTCCAATAGAGGACATGTAAGTGGCATACATACAGGTATTGTGTTGGATACAGGGAGAAGGGCTGGTAGTGTGTTTCTTTCCTGACCACATGGAATTTTGTGAGGCACTTTACATCCAAGATTATTTAACAGCTGCCAGAATGACAGGAGGAATGTCTCCTTGTTCTATCTATCTATCTATCTATATCTATCTATCTGTATCTATATCTATATATAGATATATATATATAACTATTATGAACTATAAAACCCAGGTGTTTCAGGAGGAGGCCCTAAGTCCCTGACTGCCTCCTAACCCAATCAACACAGTTTAACCAAGAGTCAAACTATAGCAAATGGACATAAAATTAGAGAACCAGCAGAATTAGTGCTGGCAGAGACTAACAGCCAAGGTGGCCCATGCAGAAGCAGAAAGACCTGTGTTGTCCCTGCAGTTGGCTGAAGATTGGATAAGGAGGGAAGGTCCATATCTTCTCTCATAGGCTGGGCTTCCTGCCTAGGTTTTCCCTTGGTCCCACTAACTGTGGACCCCAGATGATATCCTCTCACTAAGCATGTGTGGACATCGTAATGCATGGTGTCTAACGGCTATCTACTGGCTTACATGGAGGCCTATGCAAGTCACTTGGTTGACCTGCATCTGACACAGGTTTTGATTCACACTGTGAGTGTGACAGAATTTCCTATCAGCAGCTATTCCTGCATTTAACACACTCTGCAGCTTCTGGTCTGGGACTGTGGCTATGCTTCACAGCCTGACACTCAACCTGCTTTTTGTTTGATTCACCTGCTCGGGTTTCAGCCTATTTGTAGCCCACATACACTTCAAACTCACAATCATCTACCCTCCAGATCTCGAGTGCCGGCATTACAGGCATGTGCCACCACACCCAAAGTGATCATTTAGGTTCTGAAATAAAACTGATCATAGATCCAGAAAGAGTGATTCAAGGAAAGGATTAAGCCTCAGCATGGAAGACCTCAATAGATTAGGGAGACTCGCTAAGAACATCTCATGGAGGGATTTAGCAGCTAGAGCAGGGAGAAAAGAAAACAGAGGTGGGCACTCAATAAATGCCCTCAAGTCCAGCAAGTGAAAAGACATCATTAGCAGAATTAGCATCACTTGAATGTTGACACGCAGCAGGCAGCCAGCCAAGGGCTTCATCTTCTGTAACCCTCAATTCCCTTCTGAGCTGTGCAATGCATGGTGTGTTGGATCACAGAGAGCTGCTACGTTATGCATCCCAAGTGACTGGGTAAAAAACAATGTCATTTGGCTCAAACTAAAAACCATGGTTGTCACGAAAATGGTGTAGCTACAGGGTCTGAAGCCAAACTGCTTCTCTTCCCATCATACTACAGGCTAAACCTAGGAGAAGCCATAAGCAACCGCCCAGTTTGTGCGACTCCGGCCAACATTTCTTTTGATGATGTATACTTCCCCGACCCTCCTTTCTAGTCATAAATAATGCACTTTAGAAAAACTGTAAGTACCATCTTGAAAGAGCCCTAAGCACTGAAGGAACCGCAAACGTCTGTTTCCAGGTTATCAAATTTTAATGGTGCTGTTTTGTTACAAAGTGCCGATATCCTTTTAAAGAGACCATTCCAAGAACTCATTATGTGCTTATAAAATAATAAGGCACTTCACCAAGTGTTGAACAAAAGGCAATCCCCTCCTTAAAGCAACACTCAGTATACCCTAATTACGTTTTTAAATCTTAAGCATGCAACAATGCTTCCTCAAGCAAGAGTTGATCTGGCACAAAGTGAGTCTGAGTGAGGGGGTTCCACAAAACAGGTCTCAAAAGTAAGCTAATGCATATGGATTTACTCCCCTGTGGTGCCTATAGTCTCAAAGGGTGGAGATTTCTCAAGTGACTATGAGCAGAGTGACACAGGAGTGAAGTCACCCTCCTCATCCTTCCTTCCCTCATCCTCTTCTTCCCACCTCCTGAAACAATGTAGGAGACATGTCTCATGGTTCTCAGGCTTCTGGCCCTGGTTCATCTACTTCTATTGGGTCCTAGGACCACCTGTTAACCAGTTTTCTCCTCGGTTGCTTAGCACCCAGTAGAATCTTCCAAAAAGCGAGACAAACGATATCAAAAGACGTCTTGAGTGCTCAGCCATCAATGGACATCTCTATCACCCTCCCCGAGGTTCAGGGAGAATTATAGAGGCAGGAGAAGGAAGAGTGTAAGAGGCAGAGGAAGAGGTCGGGGGGGGGCAGAATTCCCGTGGGACATCACAGCTGCTGTGATTTCCTGCACGAGATCAGGATAAGGTCAGGTCTTTTAACACCCTGTCATGGCGAGTTCATGGCCCCATTCCTCCTGAATAATTATATGCAGTTAATGGCTGATGGGAAGAGAGAGACATTTTTCTTCAGTAATTTCTGGTACGGTACCCAGGCTCCTATAAACAAGCCCTAATCTATGCTGCTATAAGCAACACTACTGAAACTCCGTGGGTCTCTCTCCTCTCCCCCCCCACCCATACAACGCACACACACACACACACACACACACACACACACACACACACACACACACACACACCCCAGGAAAATAGAAGGGATGGGGAAAGGAAAGGAAAGGATCAGGGGAAGAGGAGGAAGACGAGAGATGGTCATAGAGTGAACATGATCAAAATATACCTTACATACATGAACGAAGGTGTCATAATGAAACTCACTGCTAAGGTATAGCTGATACAAACACCTTTTTAAAAAGACCAACACCTGGGATTGGAGAGAAGGCTTGGTGTTTAAGAGCACTTGCTGCTCTTAATAAGGACCCAGGTTCAGTTTCCAGAACCTACTTGGTGGCTCCCAACTCTGTAACTCCAGTTCCAGGAGATAAAAATGATACATGAATGCAAAAAAAATTTCATACGTATAAAATATAAATAGATAAGTACTTTTTAAAACCAACATCTTAAACTTAGTGTGGTGGTCCACACTTTTAATTGAGCGCTTGGGACGCTGAGGCAGGAGGATCATAAATTCACAAGACCTGCCTGGGCTACACAGTAAGTCCCAGGACACCAAGGGCTATATAGTGAGATCCGTTTTAAATACAAAAGAGACAAACATATTTATGTCATCTTGCCAGATAGCTGAGTAACCCTGGACAAGCACTCCGCCTCAAAAGGAGGGAGGCAGACGCCACGATCCCTGTTGCACCTTGAAGAGGCATTTCTGGGATCTGCTGTTGATTGGTGGGCGAAGGATGAACAAAGTAGAAACAGCTTTGGAGTCAAGATTTGATCCCTGCAGCACTAGGAGGGGCAAAAACACAACTATGTCTATTTGAATTCCCCTCCCATTCTCAGTAGTGGGTGGGAAACTCTCTATAATACAAACAGCGACTCTCCAAATCAGATGGCTTCTTTCAATGGTGACAAATCGTAACAAAACAAAATGAAGGCACACAGGAGTCCAGGCCAGAGGTTACAGTTAATAAGTAATTGTTTATAATGGGACTACAGACACCAACCAGAGCTTAAGAATGCCTACTCATCTTGCAGATGACCTAAGTTCATTCCCAGCACCCACATTGGGCAGCTGATAACTGCTCGTAACTCTAACTCCATCAATCCAATGCTGTTATGGCCTCCTTATGAGCCTGCAGACATGTTACATACATAATTAAAAATTTATATTTAAAAATCTTTAAGAATGGGGTCCACTGATCAAAATGTATTTTTCATTTAACTTTGTTAGCAACTTCAATTAGAATTAAACACAGTGCCTTACGGCAGTTGGGACATACAACATCAGCTCCGTTAGGATTTTGGCACCAGTCTTGTTACCAAGAATGACCAGGCCACATGATCAAATTTAATGTCATTGCAATAGTAATCTAAGAGTCTGGGGTGACAGTGTAAACACTAAAGTGCTTGTCTTGCAAGCTTGCAGACCTGAGTTCTACCTGACAGAACCCACAGTCATGGTAAACGCCTATAATCCCAGTGCTGGAGAGATGAAGACAGGCAGACTCCTGGGAACCACTGACATGTAGCCAAGCCTCCTTAATGAGAGATCCTGTCTCAAGAAAACAGAGTGATGGCACCTGAGTAACAACAGTGGAGGCTGACATGTAGCTCCACATGTACCATATGACCCCCACATGTATATGCATGTAGATGCGCATGTGCCACACCTAAACATGAACACAAACATAAACACACTGTAGCTGGAGTCCTTCGTGTGTATGTGTGTTTACATGTGTGGTGGTTGTATATGGAATATGCACACGTGTGTTTTGGGTAAGCAATCCTACGCACACATGTGTTGAGACTCGAAGAGGGCATTGCATGTCTTGCTCTATCACTCCCCTGAGACAGAGTGTCTCCCTGAACCTGGAGCTAGCCAGTCAGGCAGTAGACCCCAGGGATCCTCCTGTCTCTGCCTATCACAGTACTTGGGTAACAGGCATGTGCATGGCTCTGTCTGGCTCTTTATATACATGCTGGGAATTGAATTCAGGTCCTTAAGTTTACGCAGCAAGCAGTCTTACCCACCAAGCCATCTCTAAGCCCAGTTGATGGAGGATGCTCTTTTGTATACATGTTTTTCTTATTGGTTGGTGAATAAAACACTGTTTGACCAATAGAGGCAGGAAGATAGGCGGGACTAGGAGACAAGAGAATTCTGGGAAAGGTAGGCAGAGAGAGATTGGAAGAGACGCCATATAGACCACAAAGGAGTAACAGGTCTGGGCATTCTCTGACAAGCCAAGACCCCATGAAAAGACATAGAATAGAAACGGGTTAATAATTAAGACAGAGCAGCCAACACAAAGCCCTAGTCATCACCCAACACTTTAATAATAGATACAGCAGTCTCTGTGTGTT